ACCGGAATTGCCCTCCCGGGACCGGAGGGGGCCGGGGCAGGGGGCGCGCTCTGTACCCCCAGGTATGATGGTACAAGCCCCGAGCTGCTTCGGGCCTGCCAGCGCTCGGTGCGACCCACGCGTGGGACCCACGCCCCTCACCTGCCCCGCCTGTTCCCTGGCCACCACCTCTGCCCTGCAGTACCCCGGGCTTCCTCTTTGCAATACCTGGCTCCAGTGGTTAGCCTCCTCCAACTTTCTTTACCTGAACTCCTAGACGCCTTGTTTCTCCCACCGCACCCGGTCCTGCCCACCGCCCCTACTCCCAGGACTCCCAAACAGCCAACCCCTCCTTCCGGCCCCCACCTCTGGCTGTGCGGGAAGAGCGCAGCCTTCGGGGCTGGGCCTGGGTTTGCGCCACCACTAAGCCAAGTAACCTGACCCCCGCCCCCCACTACACACACAAGGCTATTTGCTCACCGGCAAGTGGAGGTGATTCCACACCTAGCCCGGCTCTTAAAGGAAGACACTTCGGCTGTGCACAAGCAAAGGCGCATTTCCTTCCTTTCCACCCTGGCCTATACCTGGACCCGCCCATAACCGAGAAGCCTTGGGCAAGTCTAGACTCCCTCACAGGCAAATACCTGGGCCTTCGGAGGGAGGAACCGCTGAGCAGAAAGGCTCTCTCCAGAGGTCCATTTGTGCCCCCTGCTGGGCCCTTCTCACCCTGGCCTGCCCACTGCAAACTCAGGAGCCAAGACCTGGCCCATCTTATTAGGGTTTTTAGAGGACTTCGCCTCTAAGGTCATTAGGATGACCTCCTGGGAGGAAAAATTTGTCATACAATCACCCTAGAAGTCCCCAGAGCTCCCCCAGAACGTTCAGGTCATCCATACTGGCTGCCGACCAGAGCTAACAGCACAGGCACCCTCTTCCCATTTGACACTCCCCACCAAGATTCTGCCTTCAGTCTCGTCTACCCAGCTCTGCCTTCCAAATTCTCCCTTCCCTCTATCTCCTTCCAGCATTTGGGTCCAGGCACTCAACCCCTGGTCTGCACCAGCATGGCACCCCCTCCCCAGTTCCCTCATCCCTGGCCTGCGGCATCAGAGACCCAGGGGCATGCCCATCTGGCACCCCCGGTCCCTCACTTCATTCTCGAACCTTATGCTCCACCCTCCTCCACACCTGTCACCTCAGCCAGGTCATTCTGCCCTGAGTCCCTCACCTGCCATGGCTTTCCTGCCTGTGCAGCTTGTGGGGAGCCCCTTCCATGTCCCTGCAACCCTCCCCTCTCGAAATCCATTCACTCAAGTGCATACCCCTCAGGACCTACCTCGCCCAGAGGGGTGCCCAGGACTTCCAAATCTCACAGCACCCCTCATCTGATATGGCACCTCCAACCCCATCAGGGGGGTGGACATCCCAAATGCAGAGGTCACTTCATCCCACGCCATCTTGAGGAATCATTACAGAAAAACAATGCCAAGAAAGAAGTGACCAGATGACTAAGGGACCAGGAGCTCAGAGGTTCATAGCACCTGTGGGCCCCACTACCGTGTCCCTGGGGCTCCGCCTCACGCCTGGCACCGAACACAGGCTCCAAGAGGCAAGGGTACCTGGTGGGAAAACTTCTGGCTCCGCAGGAAGCCCCTACCGCAGACCCTGCATGCCACCTCGGTCTACTCTGACAGGTATTCCAGACCTGAGAGGCCTCCACGACTCCCAGGAGAGTACAGAGTGCCTCCCCACTGTTTACTCAAAGACACACAAGGCCACCTGTGGCCATTTAGCCCGGGAGGTCAAAGGCTGCCCTCCCCCTCTGAAAAGGGAGAGGTCAGGGGTTCTCAGAGCAGTCCCACACCCTCCGCTGCATCTCCCACCTCTGGGAGGCCCCTCCCCATCACTGCCTCTCTGTGCACACTGCTGGTGAGCTGAACCCAGCCCTGGTGGCACACCGGTGCTGCCCAAAGCACTGTGCACCAGGGACCCAGACTGGCGACCGACCCCTGTAATTATGTCCCCAGCATAATTTATCAGCTCTTTCCCCAACCCCTCTTCCCTGCTCTCCTCTGATCATCCCTCTGGTGTTAGAACCAGGAGATTCTCCCCATCACGGCAGAGGAAGTGATCTAGAAGAGGGATAGTAACCATGGTCACCAATGGGTGGGCAGCAGGCTAGGTTCCATTCACTGGAATGCCCAGGCAACCCGACACAGGGCAGGCCAGGAAATCCAAAATGAAAATCCAAGCCTAAAGGGTAAGTGCATCCAAAACGGTCCGGAACCAAGGACAAGACAAACAGGTGAGAAAGGACAAAAGGGGGTGACTGCTGTAATTCGAGGCCAAACCCTTGGGTCCCAAATCTCAATTTTCAACAGATGAAACTTCAGTCTGATGTCAATTACTTTAAATAATACAAACTCAAAGACGATTTAATTGGACATTAGCACAGATTTTCATAATTAATGTAAATGAGTATTGCCTAAAAAGCAAAGTGTGCCTGCTGGTGAGCCACACGGATGGTACTCAGACTCAGGCTGAGGCTGCGTGCACCCCCAAAGGCTCACTTCACTGCCTGGATTCTTTAACTAAATCCACTCCCACACCCATCCCCTCAGACCCTCTGGCGTTGGGTCCAGGGACTAGCTGGCCCTGAACAGCATGTAGAGCACAGGCATTGTGGCCACAACTGTCATACAGGTAACCACCGTGCTATAGATGGTGTTCCTGTTGACCTGGGCTTCTAGCCTCTGTTCCATGTCCGCCAGCGCCAGGACCACCCTCCCCTGTTCCAGCAGGGCGCCAGGCACGGCCCCATCTGCTGGCTCCACCAGGCCTGGAAGTGCGGCAACCTCCGCAAGCCGAACAACCCCAGCTGTTTCGCTGAAAGTCTTTTGCAGGCCATCAAGCTGCTCTCGTAAACCCTCTAGACAGGAATGGACCTGCCTGGAATGGCTGAGCTGCTCTTTCAAGGCAGCCAAAAGGACATCTGTGTCTCTGTCTCGGGTGGGGGAAGTACCTGGCTGGGACCCAGAGCTCTGCCTTGGCCCTGTTTGCACCAGGCCCCTTAGGTCCGCCATGAGGTCGTGGAGGTCCCTCTGCTGGAGGGAGTAGCTGGATGCCTGTTCTCGGATGGCCTCCTGGAGGCTCGCAGGCCCCTTCTGTGCCTCCAGGAGCAAGGCCTTCAGCTCCTGCAGCCGTACACGGTTCACGTAGGTAGAGCCAGCCACGCCAATCAGGGCTCCCAGGACTGACCCAATGAGGGACCAGTTCTTGGTCCTCTCAGCCCGAGTGCGCTCCTTCTCATGACTTTCCCGCACGGCCGCGGAGAAGAGGGAGAACTTCTCTCGTTCAGAGTCTTCGGCACGCAGATAGGCCGTGCGAAGCCTCTTCTCTTCCTGCAGAGGTAAAGCGATATTATACAGCAGCGGTGTGACTGTGAAGCTCTAGTTGCCAGCAGATGTCCCACTACCGTGTCCCTGGGGCTCCGCCTCACGCCTGGCACCGATTACGTGCTAATGAATGAAGGCAGCACAAGCCCGCTCGCTCGGGTGTGGGAGCAAAGGCATCAGGGTGGCTGAGGTGAGCCGCACTGTCCTCCCGCCCAGGCAGTGTTGCTTTCGCCAGACATGCGTCTCTCAGGACGGAAGCGTCTGGCACTCCTGGGGCCAGCACCCTCCATGGTGTTCCCTCCTCAGCACCCTGAGGCCCCAATTATGCTGCCCTGGACTGCTGGCTCCAGGACTCTAGAAGGAGGCGGGTGGATGGGCTCTGGAAGCCTAGGGCCCGGTCGCTCCAACTGGGGCTTCTGGTTTGCCTCCTCATCAGGTCTCTGACCACCAGACCAGTCAGGGTTTCCACCGCACCCCTCCATGACCTAGGGTCCCTGTCCAGGTGAGGAAGGGCTGCCTCCCGAGGTGCCTACCTGCAGCATCCTGTGCTCCTGAGTGGCCAGCTCCAGGTACTGGTTATCCTCTCGAGAGATGCGGTCCAAGCGGTCCCTCACCTCCTTCAGCTTGGCCTGCTGCGCTTCCACATCTTCCCGAGCCTCGCGGACGAGCCCTCGAGCCACCATGAACACCTTCTCTGCCTGTGGAGAGAACGACGGAGGCCGGCTACCCCTTCTCACCATAGCCGCACAGGCTCATCTCTAGTCCCAAAACACTGTGGCTGAGGTCAGCGGGGTGTCAGTGCAAAAGGCAGAGAGAGTCCCTCAGACACAGAACCCCGGCTCACTCAGTGGTCCTCAAAGTGCAGCCCCAGCCACGCCCACCGGAATCAGCGGATTAATCCATTCAAGTAGAAATAACATGCCCCTGGGAAACTGGAAAACAGCTACGACTGCACGCAATCTTTGTCCACCGAACCCAGCCAACTCTAGTCTGACAAACTACAGAAAAGAACCGATGAAAGACGTTTCCACGTGTTACCTTAGTGACACCTCACAACAGTGCCAAGAGAGGCACTGCAACGGCTTTGTTTTACAGGCCCAGAAACCCTGTCTCAGCCAAGGTTGTGACCTCCAAGGGCAGAGGCAGCACTCTGCCTCAAACTCCGCAGCTGGAGTCCAGGTCCTTCCACCCCACTGTACTGGTCTGCACCCAGGCAGGAGTGGGAACAGGTGGCAGAGTGCACATCCGCTCTCACAAAGGACTTGCCAAACACAGGCAGCTCTTTCCACCCCTAGTACGATTCTCAGGGCCTCTACCTTCCACACAGGGCTTCGAGGACACGGTAACACATCAACTCTCAACTCCAACCCCCAAACTGTCAGTGAAGGAAGTGTCTGCTGGCCTGACAGAATGGATGCTATTGGCCAGGGACTCACTGGCACACAGCAACTTATTTTCAGGGGGATGGGGGTCACAGTTACACAGAGATCTTCACCCTAGTACTATCAAACCTATGCTGTCATGTGAGGAACAGTCAAATCTCTCTACTACTTGCATTTGTTCAAGAAAAGGCAAATCTGGATGTGGCTCTAAGCACCATGTAGCTGGCAGCTGGTGACTCGGGCTGGTGACTTGTGTGGCAGGAGCCTCTGGGGCACATTTCCCCAGTCAGGGAGCAGGGTCAACCACCTGGGCTCCCCTCCTCACCTCGGTCACGTTTCCCTGGGCCTCTCGAACCTCATTGAGTCCGACAAACTCTTCATATCTGTCCCACCAAGTCTTGGCCGTGGAAGACGCTCGCTGCTGAATGCCATGCCCCAGGGCCCTTCCCAGGGCTGTGAGGCGGTGATACAGCCCGAGGGCCACGTCCTCAGGCCTTTTCTCTCTCGGCTGGCTGGGGCCTGGGCTGCAGAGAGTCCTGGTCATAGAGGGGTCCTTTCCAAGGAGGCCTCTCCGCATCAGTACGGGGGGCACACCCGCGACGTGCTGCATGGCAAACACAGGGCTGCACCCTGTCATTGGGAGATCTGTGGGGGACACCAGACAGATCAACTCACAGCTGAGAAAGCTGGGCATGAGTCAGGCAGGTTGCAAGCCCTAGGGACAGTTCTGAACCGACTAACTTCCACTAAGAAGTCCAAACTGAGAGCCGCTGTGCTGGGCCTGGAGATCGCAGCCACTGCGGTCAGGCTTTCCCCGGGGACCCGGACAACAGGATACATCAGGAAAGAATGTATCTGGGAAATCATGCCTTCCGCATCCCCCAGGTCTCTATTATGACTTGAATAAGAGTTCTGGTGCCCACGTTCCTGTTAATGGCAAAGGAAATTCTCAAACCTGAGTTGTGCGCACGCTGACAAAGCCCCACAAAGACTGATAAAGACACCCGGGGAAACTGTGGGACCAGCGGGTTTCAGCGACAGAGGACAACTTTCCTTAGGTTCACGCCGACCCTCCTCCTTCTGCCCTGCAAGCCCAGACTCTCCAGGTCACCAAATCCCAGTGTCCCATTTCACTTCCCATAAACTTTCTCCATCTGCTCCGACCTCAGTCACTGCTCAACAGGTTGGGTTAATCTTTCCTTTTTCAACTCTGCTTTGACGTTTGGGCCCCAACGATGCCCACTTCACCACCTGAACGGCACAGTTTCCCATTATCGGGAGCCCAAGGGTACCTGTGATTTTGAGGACCCCCAAGAGAGAGTGCCACGAGACCCATGCTCTCTGGGCAAACCTGGGCCAGCAGCACCCTCCTCTGGCCAAACCACCCTTGCACCCCTGGAGACCCCAGTAGTGACACTGGCTGTCAGAGTGACACCTGGTGGCCAAAGAACCAGGCCAGAGAGACAAAAGTAGAGAAAGCTGGGGACAGGAAGACAAGTTGGGGGTGGTCCAGTCACCAAGAAACGGGCTTTCTGATGTAAGGTGATGTAGGACAGAGACCTGCCCAGGGCCTCCTACCCATTGTGCTTAGAGAAGCTCGAGCCCTCTTGAAAACCAAGCTGGATGGGGAGGGATGGGCCTCCTGGACAAAGTATGCCCGAGCTGAGAGCCACAGAATGGGGCATCCCTATAACAGCGGTTTCAAGCTGATGCCGCACCCGAACCCCTGGGTCCCATTCGTAAGGCCCAAAGGAGCGCATGTGGCCACTGGCAGTCAGGCAAGCCTACTAGGCCTCGATGCCAGTGCCCTCTGCACACAAGCTGTGACTCCGCGACAATCCTGCAGGTGCACCCCTTATCAAAGCAAAGCACGCAGCCCCGCCGACCACAGCATCCACGCTCCTCAGCAATGCTCGGCAGAAAGGTGTCCACCTTGGCTGTCACCACTTCCTCAGCCCCGTTCTCTTTTGCTCCCAGTCTGCCACCAAGGCTGCTCTCCTGGAGGCCCTGCAAAATGTCCACCTTGCCAGATCCAGCTGGCGCTCCTCAGATTTCTTCTCCATTACCTCTGTAGCTTTCAACACCCTCTCTTTTTGAAATTACTACCCTCTCTGGGCTTCCTCCAACCTTCTCAGCCTCCTTTCCCGGCTCTTCCTCTATCAGCTGCCCACTCTTGGACCTCAGAAAGGGCACCCGCCCCTGGCAGAGATGATCGCTACAGCCTCCTACGAAGTCTAGCTTCCTCCCTTGCCCATCACAGCTGCCCCTCTTCACATGACAACCAGAGGCTGTTAACTCATAAGACAGAACACACCCCTCAGTTCAAAACCCCTAACAGGTCCCATCTCACCTGGCATAAACACCAGTCCTGCCAGTGGCCAACATGCCCCAGTCCTCTCAGCCCTCATCCCCTTCCTTCTCTCCATCCCTGTATTCCACTCTGGCCACCCTACCATGTTAAGGACGATCCCGCCACAGGGCCTGTGCCCTGCCACTTCCTTGCTTGGACCACTCTTTCTCCACAAGTCCAGTCGGCTCGCCCTGACTTCTATGTCTTTGCTCGAATATCACCTCTTGGCAAGGCCTTCCTTGACCACTCCCTCTTTGGCTACCTTACCTGCTTTATTTTTCTCCATCAGATGCATACTGTCTTCTCTATTTGTTTCTTAGCCCGTCACCAAACGTAAGCTTGGTGACAGCAGGATTTCTCTTTGTGAGGGAAGGCACCAATGACCCCCAAGCTGTTCCTTCGGTTCGGTCCCTCCTCTCAGCCTCCCGTCCTCAGGCCCCGGCCTGTTGCTCAGCTCCTCTCCACTCAGGTGTCTCACAAACCCCCCAACCAGCAAAGAGAAGATGTTCTTGGCAGAGAGAAAAAGTGGAAAGGCGTTCAAGGTCGTCTAGAACCTGAAAGGCAGCTGATGCATCTGGAAAGAAGAGGAGAGCGGAATGGATAGAAGGGTCTGGACAGGTGGACAGAGGCCAAGTGAAGCAGGGCCTTGAGGCCCAAGTTCAGAATCTTGCCCCTTTCAAATCCATTCTCACTTGTCCACTGTCTCACTCGTCCCCACCAAATGCCCTTTCCTCAAACCTCCATCATCATCCTCACTTGCAGCTGATGGCTTGCCTCATTTTTCACCAAGAAAATAGCTAAAAATTAGGAAAGAACTTCCCACCACACCTTCCCACCTGCCAGTGTCTGTCCCATACCCTTCTCCCTGTTGGGTGAAGAAGCCATGCTCCAGGGAGGACCAAACTGGGCCCCAGGCCCCACGGCCTCTCCCTTCCTCAGACACTGCCCAGTAATTGATCTGACACCCCCTACAGCAACTGCCCTATCCCTCTGCCCTTCTTTACAGCCAAACTCCTTGACACTGGAACTGCTCTTAACCAGGTCACCTCTGCACTAAATCCAATGACCAGTTCTCAGTCCTCAGTAGCCTGTGCCTTGTGACAGGTCCTTTCTCCTTGAAATGCCTTCTACACTTGGCTTCCTATCCTCACTCATCTCCCTAACCTTTCCACAGAGTGCCCCAGGGCTCGGTCCTCAGCCTCCTCTCTCACTCACTTTCATGGCTTTAAAACGCATCTACAAAAATGTTCTGAAATGGATTGTGAGATGGTTGCACAACACTGTGAAATACGAAAACTGCTGAACTGTACACACCAAATAGAATTACATGGTACATAAATTGTATCTCAATAAAGCTGTTACTTCAAAATAAAAACCAACTAGTGACTTCTCCCGCCCAGACCTCTCCTCTGAATTCCAGGCTCATTTATCAAACTGCCCAATGCACATCACTGCTCAGAAGGTTCATGGGGATCCTATCTTCCCCTCCCAAACTTGCTTTCCCCACAGCCTTCTCCATCTCGGTTGATGGAAACCCCAAGTCCAAATCAGGCCAAAATTCTCTCATCATCCCTGACTCTGCTTTCTCTTCCACTTCACAGCCAATCCATTAGCTGATGCCACTTCCTTTCCAAATCCAGAATCACTTACTCTTGTCCCTGCCACTGCTACCACCTGGTCCCAATGCCCAGCATCTTTTGCCTGGATTATCCTAGGAGCCTCTTGCTTCTACTCTAGCCCCTACAGTCTACTGTCAACAGAGCAATGGTCCTTTTAAAACGACTCTCTCTGCTCAAACCCTGAAATGGTTCCCCATTTCTCTCAAGGTAAAAGGCAATCCTTTCCGTGGCCCACAGGGCCTCCACCTCCTGGCTCTCATTCTGACCTCTCTTCTCTGACCTCATCTCCCACTAGTCTCCCTGTTCTCACTCTGATCCAGCCACAAGGACAGTTTTGCCCCAGCTTTGAGATATAATTAATATATACTACTGTATAAGTTTGAGGTGTACAATGTGATCATTTGATACACTCATACATTGCTAAATGCTCACCACAATAAGGTTAGCTAATGCATCCTTCACCTTACATAATTACGCATGGACTTAGTACCGCTGGAACACACTAAACTAGCCCCACCTCAGAGCCTTCGCACTAGCTTTCACTATCTGTACTGCCTGCTGCCTCCTGTTTTTCAAACGTCATTGCCATCCACCCCCACTCCAGCACTCCTTATCCACTGTCTGTGTTTTATTTTTCTTCATGCACATATCACACGACCTGCGATATAGATTTTACTCATTTACTTGGCTTGTAGTCTCCTCCACTAGAATATCAGCTCTGCCAGGGCTGGCACTGTTTTGTTCACTGCTGCATCCTCAGTGCCTAGAATATTATCTGCGTGTAGTACATAATCAACAAAAATGTACTGAATAAACAGAATTGCAAAAAAGTCGCGCCTCGTACTATATTATGAAACCCAAACTCCTTCGGGTGGCCTCCAAAACTCGAGGACCAGGTGATCTCGCCCTCGCCCACCTCTGCCACCTCCCCTCGCTTCTCCCTCCAGTCACTCTGTGCTTTCCTCGGTTCCAGGAACGCGCCAAGCCTCAAGGCCTTTTGCACATACTCTTCCCTCTACCTGCAGCGCCTTGCCCGCGCACGACCCCAGCCCCGATGCCTTCCGGTTTAGCACCCCTCCTGGTTTCCGGACATTCCCCTGACAGAACGACCCCCACCCCAGCCCCATACCTGGCGCGCCTCGCGCTCGAACTGCAACCCCCAAACGAACGCCCGCCTCTCAATTGATCCCTGAGCCTTCAGCACCCGCCTCCAGACGGCCGCTTCCGGCAGGGGGAGCGCAACTTCCTGACTAGGAGCCAATCAGCGGGCCCGCGGGGAGGTGTAAGCGAAGGGGTGGGACGCGGGAGCTCCGCTTCCGGTGGCAGGGTCTGGGGAAGGGGCGGCAGGCGCCATGTCCGGCCGCGAAGGTGAGTGTATGAGGCCGGCGGGGTGGAGTGGGACAGCACCCGGTGAGGGCCGGGCTGAGCGTGTTCGTGTCGTCCATAGGTGGCAAGAAGAAGCCCCTGAAGCAGCCCAAGAAGCAGGCCAAGGAGATGGACGAGGTGAGGGCCGCGCGGAGGCGTGGGCGGGCGCGGAGGGGCTGGGAAACCCGCCTGGCGTGAACCCGCTCTGCTTCTCCCTAGGAAGATAAGGCGTTCAAGCAGAAGCAGAAAGAAGAGCAAAAGAAACTCGAGGAGTTAAAAGCGAAGGCCGCGGGGAAGGGCCCCCTGGGTAAGTGAGGTCTAGGTAGAGCCCAATCCAAACAAATGTTCTGAGCATCGGTCTGGACGCGGCCCGGGCAGGCCCGTGTCCTGCTTGGATGGTGAGTGGGGAGGTCTTGGTTCTTGGTGTCCACTGCGTCGGATGGCCTAGCCATGCTTGGATCCGCCGCAGCGGGAAGGGACGAAGTCAGGCCAGGTCTGGAAACGAAATCTGCCTGCCTGCCTGCCTGCCTGCCAGGCGGTCTGCTTCCCTTCCTTGGAGGAGAGGCAGAATTGGAAACACAAAAATTCATATATCTTCGAATTCATACAGTTGGGTTTCCAAATATCCGCCACAATTTCTTGCCCCAAAGCCGTATTTCACTATTTCTTAAGTACTCATATTGTTAACGCTAGTAAATACTCTTGTATCCCTCGCCTTTTGACTTTTGGATGCTCCTAGACTGAAATGTAAAGTCCTGGTTCCTTGGCGTGCTAGTTGCACTATATGCCTTTTAAACCTTTAACATTCTACCTCTTTTCTTTTATGTAGGAGAAATTGATTGCGTCAAAAAATGTTTTTCAAGCCCAACAGCCCTAATATTTATGCTTCTTAAATGCTGTTTACATTCATCAAACTAGTGATTATTTCCTCCACAGTATGCTCTATTGGATCACTATGAGCCTCACTAGGGATGGTGGAGGCTGTGATGGTAGGAGTGTCATCCAGGCCTTACCAAGACCTCTATCCCAGTGGGCTGGATTCATTATTATTTATTCACACAACACTGAGATTCTAGCTGTTGTGATCTCTTTTTGAAGTAACATGGTGAGGTATCTTGCACCTTCCCTTACTCTGTGTCAGTCCTTAGTGAAATCCTATACTAATTGTTTCCATTGACATCATCTAATTTTTTTAAGGTTTATTTTGTCAGTCCTTTGGGATCTTCATTCCTATATTAGGCATACTTAATTCCACATCTATTAAATTACCTACTGTGTGCCAAATATATAGTCATTTATAAATTGGGTAAAGTACAGGTATTGAGTAAACCAGGCCCCAGGATCATAATGTGGAAGGTCGTGTGATATGACGTGGCAGTTAAGAATATGGAGGTGGAAGTTAGACTCCCCAGGTTGGAATCCTGCTTCATCACATACTAGTTTATAACTTCAAAGACCTACCATTTAAGACTTCGTCATCTGAAAAATGGGTTGATAGGAGATGAGGATTAAATGAACCAATCTGTGAAGCACACAACACAGTGTAGATCCAGACCAGTGCACAGCAATTACTTGTGCCGCTGCCTCATCCTCATTCTACTTTTGCCCAGAATAGACAATATTGGTAAAGCCCTGTATGTGATTGTGTCAAAAAGAATGCCCAGTACAAGAGCCGAACCTTCTACTTCAGGCCCCTCAGGCTTCTACCATAAGATCCCTAGATGAGACTTTTTTTTTTTCCTTTTGCAGCCACAGGTGGAATTAAGAAATCTGGCAAAAAGTAAGCCGTTCCTTGTGCCTGGGGCAATGGTGATACTTAATTCCATTCCTGTTTTAACATCCGGATTCCCTGCCATAACATCTATAGCTAGATGAAGTTGTTTTGGAGACTGTTGTACATTTGAGAATAAACTTTTGTAAAAAAAATAATAATAATCATGCAGTGGCTCATCTCTTTAATTCTTCTCATCAGCCATTTCAGCCTTAGCAGTGAGGTCAGAGTAAACCCAACCTGGAATCCTGCCAAACTGTGTTCTTTAGTCTTTGTTCTATCCTGAATTCTGTACCGCCTGGAATTAAACCAACCCATTCGAAATGGCTGTTGTTTTTGTGTGGTTGTATATCTGATAGTATATTACATAAGGTGTACTTTGGAAAGAAAACCCATCTTTTTCTGTTAAGACATCCACATTGCCATTTGTTTTAATGGGGTTGCTAATCTGTTCATGTAAGGAGTCTGCTATATGCAGGCTGAGCTTGTACCAGTGAACAGTTCCTATTGTCAAGGAACTTCTCTATAGTGAGAGGGCAGCAGGACACTTGATACATGTCACGAAGGGAAGAAAACTGGGGAAGGAAGAGATTCCTGAAAGTCTCTTAAGAACCAAGCTTATTTCGAAGCCCCCAGGTATGCATTTCTACAAGGGCTTCAGAAACGCCCTTCCTAGGTTTTTGTGGCTTATACTCCACATTCAGCCCATCAGGAAAAAATTAAATCTGGTCCCTTCATATTTCTTACAATGCCCCCACCCCATTCTAACCCTAAAATCCCTCACCTGGATTTTTAACTACTCATATTGTTAACACTAGTAAATACTCTTGTATCCTGAATCATTTTACTTCTGGACGCCCCTAGACTCAAGTGTAAAGTCCCAGTTCCTTGGTGTGCTATTTGCGCTATATGCTTTTTAAACTCCTCACATTCTGCCTCTATGTAAGAGGAATTGATTACATAAAAAAGCAGATTTGTCTACCTGCCCCTACCCGTGCTCCCTTACAGTCTAATCTTTACTTAGGACAGAGTGATCTTGCTAAACTGTGAAGTTATAATTCATCTCTCCTTGGCTCAGAATTCTTCAGTGGCTTCTTAGAGCAAAAGCCAGAGTCCCTACAATGACCACTGAGGCCCTAAGGGATCTAGACACCATTCCCTGCCCTTTGATATCTACAGTTCATCCCCTTGATCCATCTTGAGGCACAGTGGCCTACATTACAAGCAAGTGCCTTCCTTACTGTATTGTTGCCTACTTTTTCTGTCACTCCCTTTAGAGAACTAAAATATCACAATTGTGAATTCTTCCCTGATCACTGTAAAAAGGGGCAGTCCCAATGTCTTACCCTGTTTCATATTTTTCTCCTGATGTTTGTTAATTATCACCCTTGACTCCAGGAGGAATAACTTCCTGGAAGACAGAGGCCATCCATAATGTGTACTAAATGCATATATATTGAAACATTTAATTCAGAGGCACAAGTCATTGGATTTCCCCTCCAGAACCATTGATACAACAATGGGAATAATGCTAAGCTTTCTTTGAAAATGTGTTTTCAAAAAGGGCTCTAGAATTAGTTGGATTTCACTACGTCAAAATTGGAAAATGTTTTGATAGATCGAAGCGTGTTTTATGATTCAATGTACTTGACATGAAGGGGAGGTGGGCAGAATCCTTCTTTGGTCCTCTCTTGGAAAATTGCATAGCCAGCAGCATCTTCTATGGACTTTTTAGGCAGTCCCTGTGGGACCTTGGCAGCTGGCACCTAGCCCTGTGCTGCTGAGTACAACCCTGAGATCTAGTGCCAGCACACTGCCCCTAAGAGTGGAACCTAATCCCTCCTGACAAATCAAGTGCAGTCCTGTCTCTTTACAGGACCAGAGGCCTGCAGCAATTAAAACTTAAGCAGCTATCTGAGGGAAACTACCAGTTACCTTAAAAAACGAAAGTATTCCAGAGCCTCTAGGCCCTGACAACCATCTCCCTTTCATTTACTGCTTTAACAAAACACCCACAAGACAATCACAGGCTAAATTTGGCACTGAGCATGGAAGGATGAAAGTCTTGCCCCTAACTCTCCAACACCCTGTTCCTGTTAACTGCCCTACACACCACTGCTGCCCAATAAAATCCTGTCAGGCACTCAAACCCAACTTGAATCCCTGCTCCTCTTTGAAGCCTTACTTATCTCTGCCACAGATAACTGCTACGTGGCACTTGAGTGGTTTCCATTTTGGTGGTGTATGCTTGTCTGAGTAGTCTTAAGTGGCAGCCTCCTCGCTCACTCTGGTAACTCCCACTCAACCTGTAAGACAGCCTACGTGCCACTTCCAGGGGTCCTTCCTCGCCTTCCTGAGCCTCATTCATTTCTTTATGACCAGCACTTGGGACAAAAACACTCAAGCGTTCTCAAAGAAATTAATGAATGAATAATGTTAATGGCCTGAGCAGTTTCCACCCTCTCCCAACACATGCACAACCTTTTCCAGATCACTCCTTAGACTTTCTTCCCCATACCTACCTCAAATGCACACATTCAAAACACCTACTGTTCTCAAACATGTCTGCTCACAGTTATATTCGTACTCGCCTAACCCTCTCTCCCGTACTCCTTCCATGAGAACCTCGGGGCATGTGAGAGGTGGGTCTAGCACAGGACAGCGAGGTTGCAGAAACCCCTAAGTGCTGGCTGCAAGTGTGGATGTCGAGGCGAACTCCAGCGTGGCTGTGTACCCCACGAGATGCTAGGGAGGGGGCGCACAGCAACCGCGCGGTGGGCCAGGTGAGCCCGGGACCCGCGCCCCTACTACCTTGGAACGCGCCGCGCACAGCCCCGGCTGCGGACCTACTGAGTCCCAGCAGCGGGTATAGAGAGGAAGCACGCGACCAAGAACAGGCACTCAGCGAAGCACGGCGGCGCGCTCGGATGTACGTCATTTCCCCGCGTCAGCCGGCTGGCGGATGATTGGCCCGTGGGCTTGGGGGCGTGGCCCCAGCGGCTGAGGCTGGTGGCGGCTCGCGGGCGGTTGGTCCAGTTTTCCAGTCTCGTGGTTACCATAGCTGACTCGGTGCCTTAGGGCACTGACCAGCGGCAGGCATGGCTGGAACCTCCGCCCCCGGCAGCAAGAGGCGGAGCGGGCCCCCGGCGCCTAGCCCCGGCCCGCCGCCCAGTACCGGGCACCCTCCGAGCAAGCGAGCCCGAGGCTTCCCCGCGACCGCGACTCTGGATCCCGAAGACCCGTTCGGCCCGCACGGGGATTTCACCGCGGACGACCTGGAGGAGCTCGACACCCTCGCGTCACAGGCCCTGAGCCAATGCCCGTCCGCTGCTCAGGACGTGTCCAGTGAGTGCACCTAGGGGTCTTTTTTTCCCCCGAGGGTGATGTAGACCTCTCCAAACACCATTGATGGCTGTGGCTTCAGGACCTCAGCGACCGCTGCCCCCGGCGTCTTACGCGCATACTGACCCTTCACCTTTTAAAAATATAGAACAGCTTGATTTAAGCAGCTGTTGTGCCCCCCAAAAGTCCTTTAATTTTGAGGAGAAATGGATCAAGAGTGTCAATCGATTTGAAATATGGAAAGCTAGGTTAACATTTTACTTCAGTTTCTAAAGTTAGGGCCACTAGGTTCTTAGTTCTAAACAGAAATCCTTGGAACACGACTCCCACCACCATCAGAACCATCACTACCTATACACGGAGACCCATTCTTGTGACAAATTTGGGAGGCTTTAGATCTAATGAAGACCACTGTCCCCGTCGAGCTGTATGAGCATAAGAGGGGTCTGGCAGAGGCAAGAGATGAAAGAGACTTATTCTTTTTACAACCAGTAAATTGTACTAGGTGGCCAAACCTTAGGAACTGCAGCACACTTAGCAATGAGCAAAAACCCCTTCCTTCATGGAGCTTGCATTCTAGTTGGGGAATGAATGAATGAAATCTGTGGAGCTCCCAGAAAGAGGTTTTGAGGGCAACTTTCATTTCTATTTGGATGTCTCACAGACATCTTAAATTCCACATAATCACTACCTGGAAACACAGTCATCCTCCAGCATCTCCAGCACGGTGCCTGGCAAAGCAGACACGCAGAAAATGACCAAATAAATGTTCCACACGACAGTGACTAGTACCACTCCTTTCAGGTGGCACAAGGTGACAGCTCTCTTACCTTGACCATACATCTAATTCTTTTCCAAACCCTGGAACTTTACCTTCTGAATCTATCTCTGGAATCCAGCCTCTGCATCATCGCTGCCATCTCCCTGATCTGTGTTACCATCACTCCTCCCCTGGACAATAGTCTGCTAAATAGTCTTCTCTGTCCCAGTGCTGACTCCCTACAGGTCAGACTTCACAACACAGCTAGAGTTATCTTTTTGAAACAAATCTGGCTGTGTGTCATACAAATAGACTTGAACATTCCTACTGAAAGCCTTTTAATGACTTCCCACCGTTTGTAATATAAAGATCTAAATCCTTTTGTGGCCTGCAGGGCCCAGCATGGTCTGTCCCTTCCTCTCTGGTGTTTAGCCACACTGCCCTCCTTCATTCCTTGAATTCTCCCTGCTTTACAATATAGAAACTTTGCACATTGCTGTTTCTTGTCCATCCATTCCCCATCTCCACTCGTAGTTACTTCCTGTTTGTTCTTCAGCTTTTGGCTCAGTCATCACTTCCTTAGGGGAATCCTTCTAGTCATTCAGTTAGATCAAACCCCCCTATTAGAGGCTTTCCTATGTTCTCTGCAGCTCTCAACACAGTTGTAATTCTACATTTGTACATGTGATTATTTTTCAATGTCTTATAAGCTCCACCAGTAAAGACAATCCATTTTGCTTACCATTGTACCGTTAGAGACTAAATCATGCCTTGCACATTGTAGGTGCTTAGTACATATTTTTAAATAATAGATCATTGAGTTCTGACCAGTGAGATCCCCACAGTGCCTTTCAGCCTTTAGATGAGATTCTTAAATTTGGGTGGGGGATGGGGAGAGGGTGACAGGATCTATTATTTCGTAAGGATCATTTATGAGTTTGAGTCAGGTTCTTAGGTTGGAAAGATACCTGTATTGCTTACTAGATGTTTCTCTAATTTGCTTTCAAGAGGGATTCTTTTCAACATTGTCTGGCAAAAGTGGGAAAATGTTGGGTCCTGAAAAGTATATGAGAACTGTTTCTTACAGGTGTTCATAAGGTCCCCAGATTAGATGGACTGTCAAAAAACCCTTCAGGAAAAAACAGAGAAATTGTTCCAGTTAAAGATAATTTTGAATTAGAGGTACTTCAGGCACAATACAAAGAACTTAAAGACAAGGTAAGTGACTTAATTTGAGGTTTTTATAGCTAATTCGTTCACTCATGCATGCATTGTAAATCAGTGTACAATAAAATAGAAAAAAGTTTTAAAATGAGTCCAGATTCATCCCCATGAAATGGGGGAAGGCTGGGAAAAGAATGCCAGAAAATTGAGGCTGAAAGAAACTAAATCTTGAAATTCCTTGGCCTAACAGCCAGTACAAGAATGCAGACACTGTATACCAGATCCAAAAAGAGATACAAATTTTCCGTTTTAGCACAAAGATAAATTTATAAATTATGTCTTATGTAAATGATACAACATCATAATGGTTGCTATTTTCATTAGCAGTTGTACAAAAAAGCAGACTTCCTTCATGTGCCCAACCTTGGTCCTTAGGAAAACCAGGAACATAATGTGGAATTTTAGTTCTGTGAGGTGTGTGACCCAAATTGTTTAAGACCTATTAGAGCCTACAGAATCTGTATGCATGAGTGACAAGTGTGTCTTTAAGCTGTCTTGCTAAATATCAGCTGTCACATGAAGGAGCCTAGCAGACCATAGAGCCTAGGTGACATCTGGTTGGTACAGATATATTTTGAGCGCTCATTGGTCTATAGGACATATTTTACATGGGCTTTTTCCATCCCCACAGCTACATGTTGAAACAAGTACATATATAATTTTCCTTTACAAACTTTTCACAAGATTGATTTGGGATTTGTAGATGAAGGCAATGGAAGAAGAAGTCCTCATTAAAAATGGAGAAATTAAAATTTTGCGGGACTCACTGCATCAGACTGAATCGATTTTAGAGGAGCAGAGAAGATCACATTTCCTTCTGGAGCAAGAGAAAACTCAAGCACTCAGTGACAAAGAAAGGGAATTCTCCAAAAAGGTGATCCAGAACATTTGTTTTGGTTATTATGGACACTAGCTTTGCCTGCTCACTGAGCTCCTTTAGAAACAATGACCAAAGTTGCATGTACATCTTCTAGGAAGATTTCAACAGTTGTCTTAAATACTGTCTGCTATCAGCTCATTGCATGTAGTTTTCCTCAGGCTCTGCATGTGGTTTGGAGAAGCAATCTGAAGCCACTTTGCTGTAGTGGTTGGTCTTGGCAGGTATAAATCGCTAGCTTAGACTTTCTAGAAACAGGTTTACATTAGGACTCCTTTGGCAGGTCAGAAACTCAATTGCTCTAGCTTAGGCCGAAAGGAAATGTATTGGCTTCTATAACTAAATCTGGGGGGAAACTGGTGTGCTGGAGCCTTGACTGCCTCAAGCCTTGCCAGGATTCATCTTTGCTCTCTGCACTGTAGACAGGCTTCATCCTTCTGGAAGAGGATGTGTTCTCCAGAAGCAACTAGGCTCGTGTTCCAGAGCAGATCAAAGACTTGGGCTCCCATCTCAAGTTTTAAAGTTCCGGGCAAGTTTTAAAATTTAAAATTGGTCTGATCTTGGGAGCCTTTGAGATCTTGCTGTCTAGAATATAGCCAGTTTGGCTCAAATATAACTCTTATAAAAATGCAAAAATAAAAATAAAATTGGTCTGACCCAAGTCAGGTGCCTGTCCTTGAACCAGTTGCTGTCACCACAGAGATGAGGGTTCCCATTCAGATCACATAGAGGTGGTGAGATGATCATTCCTCAGGGGAAAGAGATGCTGTTCTGGGAAGAAAAACAGTAGTTGTCCAGAGTATACCCCGACTTGCCTTTAGCACCTCCCGAGTCTTCAGTCTCAAGGACGTGGGGTCTTCATTCAGCAAACTTAGCAAACTTGAAAGGAGCAAACTTTAAACTGCCTGGGCCTAGCACTAACAGGAGCAGCTGCCTTTCCATAGGTATGGTGAAGAAGGAGGGATTTGCACTTGGACAAACAGTTTGAGTCCAGGCTTTATCTCCTACCAGTGGTGAGCTCAGGGCAATGATTTCAACTCTAAGACTCATTTCCCTAACCTAGTCCAGGAAATAACCAGAAGGTGGTGATGAGATTTAAAAGGTTCTGCACTTACTGTGTCTGGTGCTCTGCCTGGCACAGAGTGTGCTCAGGGGAGTGAGTGACAGCAGATACTCTTGGCCGTAGACCCTGAGGGCCAGAGCAGCAGGTCTGCCCACACTGTATAAGGTTTTGGTAAAACTCTTTCAGATACTCTGCCTAGACTTTCAGAAAGGCCTGGAATTGTGCACCACTGCATTCACGAAAAGGCCAACATGTTACTGTGTGAGATATGGCCCCTTGTCAAGTTCTGTGCTGGGCATTTTACATTGAACATTCTTATTTAATTCCCCCAACCGTGAAGACAGGTATTTCTGTCACAGGTAAGCTGAAGTTCAGAGAGTCTGAGTAAATGATATTTGAACCCTCACAATCGTTCAGATCAAAATATCTTTCTAGAATACCATGCTGTCTTTCAGAAAGAAACCTAAAGCTTGATATTTTAGGACATTTATGTCACAGCAGACTTTCAAACGTATTTTTCATTATTTGTTTTCCATTAGCTTGAGATTTTGAAGCCCAGAGGTGTTTGTGTGTATGTGATGAGGGCACTACAGGTATGTTTCTTTTGCCTTTCAGCTCCAGTCACTGCAGTCCGAACTCCAATTTAAAGACGCAGAGATGAACGAATTAAGGACAAAGCTTCAAAGCAGTGAACGAGCAAATAAACTAGCTGCTCCCTCCACTTCCCACCTCAGGTAATCATGTTGCTGGAGGGAGAGTTGAGTTTTGCATTGTTTAATAGAAAGTCTGAAGAACAACATCAGGCTAGTTCTGAATGAAGGCCATTTAGATGCTGGGGCTTGGGCCTAGGTCCTCTTTGCTGAAGCCCTCAAAGATGGTTTGGATGAGGCCTGAGTGGTTTGGGGCATCACAGCATAAAGGCCCCACACTCTAGAAGTGCTTCCACTATATAGGACTTTATAAACACAGCTCCACAGGACTAGAAAAGGCTGGAAAGATCATCTCTACACTCTTGGGGTTGGCCAGTCTTATTTTTATATAATTTGTTTCAAATAACTGATCTTACCCCAAGCATAAGTGTATTTCAGTCCCAACTACTTGAAATAATTTTTCTCATTTGCTGCCCTGGCACCTTTGTCCAGCAGCCCCCGCCTTGGCTTCAGATATGATGAGCTTGCTCATGGTCTGTGTCCTGCCCCCAGCTGGCACAGTGTCAGTGTCAGCCTGGAAATTGGAACGGTATGAGTCAGAGCATCTTTCTCTGGTATCAAGCATTCTGCTGTCTTTGCTTGTAATGGGCAGGGTGTGAAATTGACCTCTTCTTCCTTTGCATAGTCCAGGTAAGACAAGAGAACAGAAGTCCAGCCTTGTGCCTTCACCCATCACTAACAGAAGGGCCTTGACCTTGTCTGATTCAATCAGAGTGTTAAGACTGCTTCTCTAATATAAAGCCCCTGGCCCACTGAGGAGCTGGCTCAGTTTTCAAGTTGCAAGACATAACACACCTTTTAATAGACCCTCTTTCTACTGAAAACCTTTGAATTAAGTCCCTGACTACTAAAAAAAGAGATTATTCCACATTGAAAAGCTGTTTTTGTGGAATCAGAAATAGTAATGGAATTATGGCCAATATTCTTTGGTGATTAGAAGAATATAGAAATAAATGGAAGTTTTTTTCAACAATTCAGATCAAAATGCCTTGCATTTTACACTGCTGCCCTGACAAAGAATGACAAATATATAGCAGATAAAACCTTTGGTCAAATCACCTAGACATGTAAAGTTTAAAGCTTGTTAGAGGTTTTATAACAAGGTATTTTTAGCGGTGTTAGCAGAATCGTTACTTTGCTTTCATAGTTGACTTTTTCCAGTCCCAGGAAAAGCCCGTCTGTGGTTATAAAGGCAGAAGCATGTTCTTCACAACTCGGGAGACCACCT